CCTGGAGTTGGTCTCCTGGAACTACTGGTGGCCTCAGATGTCTCGCCATATCGGCCGGTATGTTGCAACCTGTGACTTGTGCTGTCGCACCAAGGCACTCCGGAGACTGCCCCACGGAGAGCTGCACCCCACGGAAACGCCCCCGGAATGCTGGCATACCGTCTCCGTCGACTTCATCGTAGAGCTTCCCGAAGCCCATGGGTACGACGCGATCATGGTCGTCGTTGACACCCTCAGAAAGTGTGCCCACTTCTCGGAGTGTCATATGACGGTTGATGCAGTAGGGGCAGCCCGCCTCTACTACCGGAACGTCTGGCGGCACCATGGGACTCCGGAGAAGTACGTCTCCGACCGCGGCTCGCAGTTCATCGCGGACTTCACCCGAGAACTTTGGCGTCTAATCGGCATCAAGCCCGCCACGTCTACCGCGTACCACCCGCAGACAGACGGTCAGACAGAGTGCGTCAACCAGGAGTTGGAGCAGTACTTGCGGATCTTCACCAACTATCAGCAGGACGACTGGGATGAGCTGATTCCGGCCGCGGAGTTCGCCTACAACAACCATGTTCACTCCTCCACGCAGCAGGTCCCCTTCATGACGGACACGGGATGGCTCCCGCGCATGGGCTTCGAACCCGGAGTCCGTTCCGCCATGGAGTCGGTGAACGAGTTCTGCGACCGGATCGCCACTGGTGTTGCTGAAGCCAAGGCCACTGCATCGAGACGCCGCATTCAAAGGGGGGGGGGGGGTGATGTCAGGGGAACCTCCCTTTCGGCCCGGAGACGCACCCGATTCCGGTCCGATTCCGGTTCCGACTCCAGTCCGGCCCTCCATCTCGCCCGCACAATCACCGATCCGTCAACGCCCTCCCGATGGTCACCCTGGGACCTCGCCTGCGACGCTGCCCAAGCCTTCTGTGCCCGACAGCGGCAGCTACGGACAAGCAGTATATAGTCAGCTCCCTAGCAAGCGGACCCTTAGAGTTTCTTCTCTTTGGATCCTCCCCTGCTAGGTCAGCTTCATTTGTATTCACTTACCAATGTTCACACTTGGGGACTTGTGGTGTAGTGGCATTCCACCTGTCCTGGCCTTTGGGTAAACCAAAAAGGTCCTGGGTTCAATCCCAGCAAAAAGCTGCCTAACGAGGGGTTTTAGTGGGTATTAAGGACAAAGAGCCTTGGAGTCCCACACTGTTTGTTCACACACTGTGTCATTCGTGCGTAAATGCATTCCCCCCGGTGGAGTAGTAGGATAAAGTCTTACTGCTTTGGATATTCACATGTCCAACCTTTACCAGAGCCTTGTGGGATGATCAATTATCAACTGCACAAGAGTTCGCATATGGTACAGCCAAAAAAAAAAAAAAAAAAAAAAAAAAAAAAAACAATGTTCACGCTTTGGATCCTCCCCTGCTAGGACCTTGACATCTTAGGCTTGCTTCATAACTTGGCGAATTGCAAGTTTTTCTGTTCTCATGGTCCTTTGTCTCAAGCGACAGATTTTCAACAACAATTCCAACGAAGAGTTGGTACGATAATGTCATATCCTCTTGAGCATTGCTAATCACACTCTTCTTAGAGTTCCGACTCAAGTCAACATGAATATAGTCCTCGCAGCAGTCCGACACCAACTTCTTCGATGTCCGCATTCAGTGGGGGCTCTCCCATGCAGTATGTGGATGAGGGTCCGACGACAGTAAGAGTTTTCTAGGTTCCTTGTGAAGCGTCTTCTAATTACTCATTAGCCTGACCACAGAACTTCCGAAACGCTGGTTGGCAGCTCTGACGGTGTATTGCCTGTTTTGCCCACCACCTTGGTCCCATACCCTGCCGGCTTTCTACCTCCCTTGCGGTCCACGACTGCTTTTGTACAGTATGCCACGTCGCTACGCTCATGCCGTCAAGTCCACACGTGCTGTACAAGAATTCACTTGTGAATATAACCCGGTGTGTTGATTCTTTTCATCCACAAACCTTGTTCTAACTATATGAGCTAGCTCCAAGACAAGTACTTCCTCGTCATACAGTTTGCACAGGGAGGACGAACTGCTGTGACATTTACTGGTGGTATCAGCCCACATGCTATCTTGCGTGGCTGGCACCATAACTCAGGGCCGAAGCCTTGGTGGGTTAAACTGCATCTTCAGGATGGTCGTTTGCGAATGTGGGTGGTTTCAATGGAGTTTGCTATCAGACGCTGCATACTCATGGCCAGCCTTAGATGAGCGCTTGCTCTCAAGCTGGCTCCCTGAGGATGAGGAGGAGTATAAGTCGGCCTCAGATGCAAGCAGCGACGACTCTACTGACAAGGTATGTATATCAACATGAAATCAATCACGCTGTATTGAAATTCATGTGAGGAGTACAATGAACCCAACAAGGAGATGAATGGTGCATTGGCGAAATATAGAGCTTGAAAATTGGCAGCACAAAGGGCATCTCATGCGCTGGTGCTCACGGAGGACCCACATGTTGTATGTATGTTCCTGAGCCACCAGCTCCACTCCCCAATGAGCCAGATGAATATGATCATGAAGACAATATCTCATTTGTGCCTTCCCAGGATGCTGAGTAGTCTATTCGCACAACGACAAATAACTTTGGTCTTTGGCACGAATACCCATGTTTTCTGACCCATAACCCCGACAGTGATGTTTCACTGGCTGATCTCTCGGATGTTCCGGTGGCGGAGCAACCCAACTTGCCTGGAGCTAGCGAAATATGTCTTTCCCCACTTGCTGCTCCAATGAACACTCTGCCCACAGCAAATGGGGACATGTCGTATGGACCATTCAACAACTTTACTGTTTGGGGGTTCATGAACTGGATGTAGACTGGGTCAGCAACGAAGAGTCTGGGAGAGGGGTTGAAGCTGCTGGCTTATCTGAAGTTGCCATTATTCAAACTCACAGACTTGATTGACTTTGACTTAACAGCGGAAACTTTACAATTCGACAAACACTTGTGGGAGCATTTGGTGATGTTAAGGATGGTTGGCAGAAGAGCAATGTGGATATTGATGTGCCCGACAACCGCCAACACACAAACGATGAACCACTGCTCCAGTATTCGGTACCTACACCCCCAATCCCAACTGATGTCTCAGTGATATCATCGGAAAATGTCTGAGAATATTTATGTAAGATATCCATAGGTAATCCCTCACATATTCAAGACAAATCCTACTGCCAAATCAAATGACTATTAGTTGATATCAGTGTGTGATCTCTGGTTGATATTTTTCAGGATTTCTCCAATAAATCTATCTGATATTCTTGAGATACCCAAGAGATACCTTAATAACATGTCATATATCATATAAACTATCTCACCATATCCTATGCTTGAATATATTTGAAGGTCACTTTTATGCTTGTACAATACACGGTAAAAGATGAGATTGTGATAATAATACACATTGGGTTGTCAATCATTAACTGTCCTCTTCTTTGAGCCGTTCATTTTCCTTTCCATCATCTGTCTCATCATCAGACAGCTCCTGTCCTGTCCGCTTGCGGCCCACATCGATCGGATTGGTGATTTTGGGGCTCTCGACCTTTGGTGCCAATTTACGGACACGCTGCAGCCATTTGGGACTGTGGCGGCCAACATCGGAGTCAAGTTTTACATCCTTGGACAATTCCCCATACTTTTTGATATCGGCCTCGAAATTCGCTTGAAGCGCACTAAAGAAATAGATCAACAGGGAGCAAAACCGACCATTAACACGTACAAAATATAAACACCGGCATCCTCATCCGAGCGCAGCTCGTGGAGTTGCTTGTCCAAGATTGGCCAGAAATCACGGCCCTTGTTTGAGGCGAGTTGCGTCCGCTATTATACAGATCAGCGATGATCAGCGTGGAATTGTCAGTGGTCACGCACCATTAACCCAAGACGCCAGAGAAATTGCAACGTCAATGGGCTCTCAATGCCCCAGCTGGACAAAAGCTGGTTGCCGACACTTGCAAGATCGGTATGTTTGGCTCCCATTGCCAGCAATGACTGTATCTGAGAGCCGATTCAAGAGTGGGAAGTGTACGGAGCGGGAAACACACCTTCTCTTTGATCATGTTCTTTGCCACAGACAGTTGGTGTCCAACGATCTTTTCGAATCCCTTGATGATAGCGCGTGATGCATCTTGGCTTGGCACCTTAGGGACTTTATCCTGGCGCATTGCGTCCTATCCGTGGCATGGGCATCGCGGACAAGCAGGAGTGTATTACGCACGATTATAACCATTTTCAGAGTACCTTCGTAAAATTTGGTGTTCGGATCAACAAGAAAAGCGCGACAGTATTTGCAGGCCTCCGCCTGTGCTCAAATGAGAACTAAAAGCAAGAATAAGATGAACGGCACACCGTAAGTTCCCCATTGGCTTTGAAGTCTTCACTCTTGGCCTCCAGCAACATTTCTTTCACCTCAGCCAACTCTCCACGAAGTTGGAAGACGGACAGAGCTTGAAGATTGTCCCGCTCATAAGCATTGGTGGCCTACACAGTGATTGCAACATATAGATGAGCACAGAGCGATGACGCAGAATGTGCCACTCACCCTACAAATTTCCAGGTAATCGCGCTCATGTTTGGGAGCCAATTTCACGCGCTTAAGTCGACGTTGGCCAAACGCAGTGAGATCAGGCACTTGAGTATAACTGGGGTTGTATTGGCCTGGGGTGCTGGGCAAGTTGGTATTGTCATTGATGTTGCCACCAGTACCAAAGTTAGAGAGTAGCGGCGATGAGCTGCGAAGTATATGACCAGGACTTGAGGGAGGGAGGTTGGCAGTGTCCAGAGCCTTCTCTGCTGCAGCAGCGGCGGCAGCGGCGGATCTCTGGCGGCCCATTTCCAGGAGAGATGACATGATATGGTACAGAGGAGAGTATTTGTGACTTGTCACCAGTCGCGTCGACGAAATAAATGTGTCCAGCTCGGAAATTGCCTGTGACAGCACGCCGGGCCGTGTCGCGTCGCGTCTGGTCACGGCCTTACCATTGACCATGCCACCCAAAAAGAAGCCCGAATGTAAGCGGCTTCTGTGTCTTGAGAGCGCTGTCTGTGCTAATAATGCTTTAGCCAATCCACATTTTCGCCCGCATCCAACTGACCCCGAGCTCACTCAGTGCATTCCCTGTGAGTTCTTTGGGCTGCAAGGAAAAGAGTATACCAAGAAGTCGGGCATACGGAAACACATCAGCACACCAGCTCATATTTCTTGTGTAACTCGTTTTGCGGAAAAGGCACAAGAGGCGGCAAAAGCTGAAAAATCTCGAAATTTGTCTATACAAAATGCTTACATGGCCCCACCGCTTATTCACCCTGCACAATCCAACTCGTCAACCTCACCTCTGTCTCGTCTTCCCATGATTTCCGCGGAACCACCGGAGTTGCTTGACCATAACATGGCAGACTTCCAGTTTATTGCGCAGGGTCTTGCACAGAACGATGTTGAGCAACGCGCTCAAGACGAATCGGATACGCCTGCCCTGGATCTCCAGCAGGAGTTCGAACGGATCTTGGCGGAGGCTCTGAGCCATACCGAGACTGAAGATGGTGAGGATGAGGAGTTCGAACAATTGCTCACCGAGGAGGACGATGAAGGCATCGTGGAGCCTGATCCGTTGTGTGCCCCATACCCAAATCGCACCGTAAGTTATTTCTCTCAATGTCTTCGACGGTTCCGGCACTGATTGTTTGAAAGGTCATGTTGCTCGATGTCATTGATAATCTTGCACGCTGCCGCTTCACCGGTGTTCAGATGCTCCTTGTCTTGAAGCTGCTTAAATGCCTTGGTGCTCACGACATTCCAACGTTGAAGTCACTTCGCAAAATTCAGAAGCAAATCCATACCGAGGTTGGGAACACACCAACGAAAATCACCACCGCCTTTGGTAATGTCTTTTACATCAACGACATTCGCGACTCGATTGCACGCGATTTTGCAAACCCTCTCGTTGCTCCACATCTCCATCTCTATCCTGAAGAGGTCCTCGGTGGCCCTGTTTTGGAGCGGTGGCAAGCCGAGCGCATTTTCGAGTATACGCCTGACCAACTGACGCCGATGTACTCCAACGGGAATCGCAGATACTGGATTAATGAGGTGGCGCAACTGAAAGACGGGCAGTTTGTTATCCCAACCACATGGATTATTCGGAACGGGAGACTCACATCCAATGTGCTATTGGTATCACGAAATGCCGATTCGAGCTGGGATTGCTCCGGGCGCGAGCTTCGGATTGATGCCCTTGACCTTTCGGCCAACTTTGACGACATGGTCGACGAGTATGGCGCAAACTTGACATGGAGCGATCGATCGCAGGCCTTTGTCGTCGCAATGCCTAACCCACAACGCCAACTCTTTGGAAATCGTGACCTGTATGTGGTTGGCTTGTCGGTTTGGGGGTTGACGATGTTTCTGGGAATCGCTCCAAGCAATACAACAAATTTCTGATGATGCTTGGGCAGAATACGGCGGTTCCGGGGCGGCTCTTGAAGCAGGAGTTTCATATTCATTTCATGGCTGCGTCGCAAAATGTATCGACAACCGAGTTCTCAGCAGCGCTGCGCGATTCGATTAAGGCGACAGAGACCAACCCCATTGTATGTTACAACGCCGAATCAGGGCAGGAGGCAGCCTTGATTTTGCGGCTGCATCACAAGGACGGCGATAATCCCCAGCGGTCGGAGGAGGCCAGTCATATTGGCTGTCATGCGAACAAGCCCTGTCGAAAATGTAAATGGGGCGGTTCGCAGAAGGAGAAAGAGACGGCCGCAACATACCATGCCGCCCATGCACCTGGCATTGCACGCACTGCTGCGGAAATTCGGGTTGATCTGTGAAAACAGCTCGAAATGGCTGCCAATGGTAGCAGTCTCAGCGCTATCGCAAAACATCAGCAAGAAACAGGAACCAAAGACAAAATAACGCAATACTGGATTGAACGAGTCGTTGAGCAGGTTGCAGCCAGGAAAGCGGAGAGCCCTAACAAGAAGAAGGATCAGATCGCCAACGATGTGCTCCAATGGCTCGAGGCACAACCAGGCGATAAAATGAACCCACTGCTTGATATCCTGGGTTTTGATCCCGCCCGCGACACTCCCATTGAGATTTTGCACACAATTCTCCTTGGCTCAATGCGGTATGTCTGGCACCACCTCCACACAAACGCATGGTCCGACGACGAGCGCCATCTGCTCGCAATCCGCCTGGAATCAACAGATATCAGTGCGATGAATATTGCATCAATGCGAGCAGCTTACAAAGTTCAATACCGCAATAATCTGATTGGGAAGGACTCCAAGGCCATTATGCAGGCGCTTGTATTCCATGCGCACAATATTTGCACGCCCGAACAATTTCAGCTGATCAAAACCACCGCGGATCTTGGTGCCTGGGTTTGGGTATCAGTTATCGACGATATGGAGACCTACATCCGGCAACTCACAACAGCTATCGCAAATGTGCTCGATGCGTGGGACGCTGTTGACCTGCTACGAATTATAGTCAAAGTCAAGCTCCATCTTCTTCCACACTTTCCCAATGAAGTTCGTCGGTTCGGGCCCCCCGTTCGTTATTTGACCGAGACGCAAGAAAGCTACAACGCAGTTTTCCGAATGTGTTCTGTGTTTGGGAATAACCAGGCACCCAGCCGAGATATTGCCACGAAATTCGCCTCGATGAATGCTGTCAAGCATATTCTCTCGGGTGGATTCTGGCGATCGAAGGAAAGTGGCAGATGGGTCCAGTCGGGACAACAAACGAGGCAGATCTTGCAAGAAGACACCGCGTTCCAGAGACATCTCGGATGGGCCCCTCCCTCGGTCGTCAAGCCCGGCTTCGTCCCACTGCTCGGTGCCCAAGTCCATCCCGCTATACAGTGGTGCCAGAGTGAGGCACAGAAGCACTGGGTGACCGAAGGGGGGGCCGCTTCCACAGGCGTTGTTCCGTCATGGTCTGTATGTTGTTGCACATACAGGAGACCACGTTAAGGAGTCTAATTGGGCCTTTGCGTGGGACAGGACTGCACGAGCGGCTGTCCTCGGACGGGTAGTCGAAATCATTGCTGCAGGCGATGTAAGTCTGGTCACCCTTGAGCGGTTCATCTGCACAAACCTGCGACATCCTCACTTCGACTGGCCGGTCATTCGCCGTCCCGACTGTGAAAGGGGAAAATGCAAGCCATCAGCGGCAGGAAAGAAACGCCAGGAAAGAGAAATAACGACTCACGATATTCGGCTAATCAAGCACACTGACGATGAGAACTTTGTCCTCAACTTGGGGTGCATCCATAACTTTGTCGAGGTGACACGCATGCTCCCGTCCCACGCATACGAACTCCGTTATCTTCAATCCGACCGGCAGACTTTCCACACTGCCGTAGCAGAAATGGCTCAGAGTACTCGAATGGCGGCGCGCAAAAAGACCGCGGAGAAACGGGCAGCAACCGCAAAGTCAAAAAAAGCCAGTGCCGAAGAGGCTGCCCGCGTTGCGGCAGAACTGGCTGCAAAGGAATCAGCACGCGCAGCCAACATTTTGGCAGATGCTGACGATTTTGACGAGGAAGGAGAGGGACTGGAGGATGATTTGGTAGAGATTGACGATATGGCGTCAGTAGAAGCAGGAGGTCGAAGGGCGGAAGTGCTTGAGGGCGTAGACCCAAGTACTGAAGGCAACAGGGTGGCCTCTGATTTGGAGAGCAACGACGACACCGAGTATGAGGTGTACTTGGGGCAGAAGCGTGGCCGAGGAGCTCAGGCTAATCAAAAAAGCAAAGAGAGGAAGACGTCGATGACAGCTGTCATGTCACGACTCCCACATCATATAGTCACAGCCGTATTTGTCAGTATTCCCATAGTAAATACCACTGAGATCGATAAAAACTTCACGCAAAAAATACTCTCTGATATTCTTCTGAATCTTTTGGGATATCATTCAGACATCCGACTAAGAACATCTGTTGTATCTACCTTTGATATATGGCTGACATCAGCAGGAAATGTCTGTCGGATTTCTGACAGTGACATCAGAGTGATATCTCAGTGGGTTGGGGGTGTAGGCTTCACTATCGGGCTCTTACTGCCACAATTTCCACAGTACTAGCAGAGGTAACATCACGATCCTTCTATTACACTCCCTTTCGACAATTCTGGCAACCGATTACGAAGACTTGTTGCAGGTAAGATTGCTGTTAACATCTGTGTCAGGCCTTTAATTTTATCAGTGTGCGCTGCCAGCGTTCGAGAAACTGCTTGCAGAGGAATATGCTGAAGACAATAAAATACTTCAAGACCTCATATTCGCCCATACATACTGGCATGGTTTGGCGAAGCTGTGCGTCCCACACCAGATTGTCCCTGGACCACCTACGGGAAGCAACATGCAATTTGGGCTACCAGCTGCAACAATTTGCACGGACAACTTGTGAAATTTCCCGACCAAAGAGCTCCCCCGCAAGGAGGAGGCAGCGTGGCGAAAGTGATATACACGCAAAGTCCAAGAAGCGAGCACTATAGGAAATCCACCTCCGCCAGCAGCAGCGCCTGGAACCAAACTCAAAACCTTCAATGTGAATATAGTCAAGATACACTTTCTCGGGGATTATGTACTGACCATCCCTTACATTGGCACTTCAGATTCATATTCCACAGTTGCAGTGCATGTCCAACTTTTTTTTTTTTTTTTTTTTTTTTACATTTCACCACTCATTGCATGAAAAGGGAGAAGCCAAACATAAACGAGGCAATGCATTCTATTCGCAGACAAGTAAGAACGATGTGATCAGCCAAATCAGCAACCTCAAGCGACAGGAGGCTGCCTTGTCAAAGATTGTGACCAATGCAAGCTATGGAGGCAAACATTCACATAAACATGGGTTCGGTGGAGTGTCCGGTTGCTGGTCAGAAGCAGAAGTGAGTGGGAGGTCTAAACCAACCATCGAAGCGACACAAACCGGTCCTCGCGCACTGGGCTGATATAGGAATTCCCCCTTTGGGAAAGTTACAGAATAAATGGATGAATAAATGCCAAATTTATCTATAGATTTTTTGTATGATAAAACCCCCTGTATAAGTGATAGTTTTTGCTACAAGGAAAATCCAGGAATAAAACTGACATATTTCCAGCACACAAACCCATGGTAAAACTTATAGATAAATGCCATATTTATCCACCAATTTAACCTGATATTTCTACAAAGGAAAAAACTAGAGATAAATTTTGGATAAATCCAGACATTTATCTGTAAGAAAAATGTGGGGTTTTCCTACTGGATAAAGCCACAGAAAAATTTGCCATTCAAAAGAGAAAGACAAGTTTATCTGTTGCTTTATCTGTCAGAAAAATCTCCGGTTTTTCCTGCAGATCGATGCTCAAATATATCTAAAATTTACACCTAGTTTTTTCCTTTGTCAAAATCACAGCTCAAATTAGTGAATAAATGTGGCATTTATCAGACAGTCTTACTTCCAGTTTTTCTGGTGGAAAAAGGACAGCTTTGTCCACAGATTTTCTTTGCCAGTGTGTCAAAAGCTATCATTTATATAGCCGTTTTATCACCCAAAGAATAGTCAGAAAAATCTGGAATTTACTCTTGCCTTTATCTTCTAACTTTCCGAAGGGGTAAATTTCCAAATCAGCCCAGTGAGATTAAACAGATCCGATTATATTTCTGATGGTCACGCGTCACCTCCAATTGTCCTTCCCAAAGCGCTGCCCGCGACAATGGCGCGGGGTACAATGAAGGGCTATTGTGCAGGGTGTATAAGGGGTGCCGCCTGCAGGAAGAGAAGATAACGACATCTCCCTCCACGCCCGTGCCTGCCTCTGTTTTACGCCCAAGACGACTTTTTTTCTGCCTCTGAGCCTGGTGGGTGGCTAGACGTTCTTCCTCTGTCTCAAGCTGACCTTATTTGCAGCATCTTTGTTAACCACCCACCCTTTCATTACTCCAGTCAACGACTCATGGCCTCCACCACCACCACTACCACCACCACCACCACTTTTGACTTCGGCGCTTTCACCCACCCCCAGTCTCAACGCTCTGCTGCCGCCCAGCGCATGCGCTCCTTCCTTCTTATTCCACGCGGCCCACCCTTTCGTCCGCGAACGACTACTGCCCCTACTGCTACTCTTGCTGCCTCCACCACACAACGCACACAACGGCCCTTTGCTTTCCCTGTCATCGAGGACGACGACAGCGCTAGCGACAGCGAGGGTTCAGTTTCGGACTGGGAGTCGGATTCGGGGAGCGTCCAAACAGCGGCGACTAGTGTGGCCAGCTTCTCCTTGCCTGCTGTTCCTGCTGTAGCCAAGCCGACAACGACTGCGGCGACAAGGAAGCTGGTGACACAATACCTCTACGAGGGCGGGCGCACGGGTGTCGTTAGTGGCGGGGTTATGCTGGGTGGGCAGCGCCCCGCGGCAGTTATTGCAGCAAAGTCTGTCCCTTCTCCCGCCCTGGTCAAGACGACCACCGGCCAGTCCGTGGCCAAAAACGCGAACAAGACGACGACCGGCTGGCGCGCTGCTTCAGCTACTATGACTAGCTGGCGCCGTGCGTAAAGAACCTGTACATGCTTGCTGTACATGCTTGCCATGTCATGCTCACGAAAAAAAGTCGAGCTCGATGCTCCGCTCTACGTTTTGCATTTCGGGACGCATTTCCGATATGGATGCGACACCAACTCTGACTCTCGACGACTGTAAATCCTTCGCAACCCGATGTATTTCTACCTCTCTGTGTTAGTATCTGTAGCAATATCACTGCCGTTTGTTTCCTTTCATTGTTTCCAGAAAAATGCAAGAAAACAGGGAAATCGCAGCAAGTGGCTGTTTTCGGTGATCTGCGGGAGCTTCAAAAACTGTGCGTCTTGGTAGGGCTTCCAAAGCCTTTCAAAGCGCTTCTGGTAGCGCTTTGGACCTGCCGTGGACGAGCAAGTTTCCGAGCTCAAGCTCTTGTCATCGCCCAAGGCCAAGTTGAATGTCCGGCTCGCCGCTCGAAGACAATTTACAGATAGGGTCGAGGAGGATCGCCATGCCCGAGAACGCAGCTTTTATCTCAGGCTGGTCTGGGCCGTACATGCGCCTATCTGATATGTGCAATCGACAAAGTAGGGCCGTCGTTGCGTGAATGGTTACTCTCAGGCAGTCAGGCTCTGTTGCGCAAATCAAAATACTGGAGCTGCTTTCGAGATGAGAATGAGGATGGGATTCGGCAATTGGCATAATGAACTGCCTGAATCAGTGAAGATAGAAGTAACTTAATCTAGCTAGCTTATTGAGGAGAGCATGTCTCTTCAAAGTTCAGGCTAGACACTCTCCCTGCCGCCACTCTCCCTGCCACTCTCTTTGCAATAAGAATGTCAAATTCCTATTGGATACCAGTACTCTCTCGTGAATGACTGTCTTCACGGGTCAGAAGAAAGGATTGCGAGCGAGATTACTTATATTATCAGTAAAGAAGACGTGAGCCGTGGCTGATGATATGAATCACATCTGATGGTCACGCGTCACCTCCAATTGTCCTTTCCCAAGCGCCGCCCGCGACAATGGCGCGGGGTACAATGAAGGGCTATTATGCGGGGTGTATAAAGGGTGCCGCCTACGGGAATAGAAGATAATAACATCTCCCTCCACGCCCGCTACTTGACGCCTGCCTCTGTTTTACGCCCTCGACGACTATTTTTGCCTGAAACTGGTGCGTGGCTAGACCTTCTTGCTCGGTCTCGAGCTGACCTTATTCGCAGCATCTTTGTTAACTACCCACCCTTTCATTACCAGATCCAACGACTCATGGCCTCTACCACCACCACTACCTTTGACTTTGGCGCCTCGGCCTACCCCCAATCCCAGCGCTCGGCTGCCGCCCAGCGCATGCGCTCTCTCCTTCTCATACCTCGTGGTCCGGCCTTCCGCCCACGCACAACTACCGCCCCGACGGGCTCCACTACTACCCCAGCCCGACGACCCTTTGCGTTCCCCGTCATCGAGGATGACGACAGCGCCAGCGATAGCGAGGACTCCATTTCTGAATCAGAATCCGATGCGGAGAGCGTGCAAACGGCGGCGACTAGTGTGGCCAGCTTGGCTCTGCCTGCTGTCAAGGACGTGCCGATGTCCAAACCCACAATGGCTACGACAACGAAGCCAGTCACACAATACCTCTACCAGGGCGGGCGTACCGGCGTAGTCAGCGGCGGAGTTATGCTCGGCGGGCAGCGCTCTTCAGCAGCTGCTGTCGCAAAGCCCGTCGTTCCTTCAATCGCGGCCAAGAAGACTATCATGGCCAAAAACTCAAACTCGAAGACAGCTGGCACAGGCTGGCGCGCTCCTTCAGCTGCTGCGGGAAACTGGCGTCGAGCGTGAAAACTTGACTTGCATTGACGAAGAAAACGAGCCGGGCTCGATGTCTTGTGCTCCACGAAACTCGATATGCAGACGATTCAAATTCTTTACTTTCGATGCGTACAATCCTGTAGACTAGTATTATCTCTGCCTGCTGTATCTCTTACCTACCTGTAGCAATATCATTATCCTCTCTGTTCAGCTTCTCGCGGAATCTCGGCTCAAAATTTTACTTGGACGAGGCCAAACAACCACGGGTGGTGAGCGGACGATTTATGTCGGCCCAGATGAAGGCGTCACGGAATCTCCTGGGAGATAAGCGGACGTGGATGGGTTAACTGCACTCCAGTGCCACACAAAATTACTTGGACGGTGTGACCGCGTCACCGCGAATCAGTGATCGCTTACTACTTCTATTTTATATCGTCCACGACGAGTGAGCCTGAAGCACGCATTCCAACATTTCTTTCACCACGGACGGCCACACACACACATAACCTACGCTGAATCGCTTTGATTTCTCCTCTCTCAGCCTCATCTGGCTCTTCCCGCCGAGAATAAGATGGATGTATGCTCAGGCCAGCCCAGGCGTGGCGCTAGCTCAAGCCTTAATTCCGTGCGTGAATATACCACTTCCCTTTGGTGTGCATTCCGATCACTTTTGCCAGCAGGACAAGTCTTATTAGACAACTTGAAGACGTCAGGCAGCCATGTTTACGGACAGGCTGTGATGCTGTGGGTGCAAGGGTGAACAAACCAGCCGGACCTGTTGGGTACGTCGTCGCTTAAGTATGCGAATTGCTGGATAGGGTCCTCTGCTCACCATAACTTTCATTTTAGTCAAGATACCTACTACTTAGTATGCCAACTTCGCGCCATTCCAGATTCGGGCATGGAAGCCTGTGAGCTCCTACTGCAAGTTCTCCTTCGCCGTTGTGGTCATGTCATTCGCTAACCATAGTCTGCAGGCTTGTCGAGGATGGGACGCAATTAAAAGCTCCAAGCTCGACAAGTTATGTCTGGATCTCGACGAACAGGGTTGGTAGTAAGCCTGAGCAGTAGCGTTATCGAGTGTCATCTCTCGGTTGTGGGTACTTTTTTTAACTCCACTCTGCTCATCGATGGAACTTGGCCCTGACTCCCCATGTTAGTACACACTGGCAAGAAATCTCGTGTCTATTCTCTCTCGAGACGGGCTCCGCCTCGCGTGCAACTGCGTCGACCGCTGTAATAGTATCCGGAAAACGAAAAACACCATTGTAGCAAATTCCGCCGCTCCAGCTTCAAGTGTACTTTAGCATCTCGACTTCAGCGCGGAGTCACGATTTTTGTGCTAGAATGGCGCATCTGAAGCTACGGGATGGCCAATTAGCGCCGCCCATCAAGCCCTGCTGCAGTGCTGCCGTGTTTCGGCTACCTTTGTGGTGTTCCACTATTTCATGAACCGTCACAATCTTGGTCACGTCGCTCCCTCTCATCCTCCTACCACTGTCTTCTCCCGAGCAGCAGCCGACCATGGACTACTTTAAACTGCCACCCGAGCAGATCGTCGTCCTAGAAAAGCGAACACCCTCTGGACAGCCGGTACACCATTCGTTCGCGCCATTGACACTTGTTGATCTGACCACCACAGCGCGTTCAACCCGTTTTCGACAGAGATGGGCCTAGAGACCGACCCCTCCAATGCAAAGTCCAAGGCTGCAGCTCAGCACATCTCAGGATGAACGAGCTCGAGCGCCACTTCCTCGCGCGACATTGTCCACCAGAGTTTCTCCAAGCACTGTGCGTTCTTGGCGCGCATTGCCACCCTCTTTACTCGACCGCTGACTTTCGTGCAGAGGATTAGGGGTATCCTGTAAACATCCCGGATGCAAGCATTGGACATTGCAGCGCAGCAACCTTCCCAACCACGAGAGAACACAGTGCGTTATCCGCCGACTCAGTGTCGATTTACTCATCCCGGTTGCAGCACAAAAGCTAGACTGACCTGCGAACACCCAGGTTGCAACGAGACGCGGTCGGATTCCGCAGCCTTGGTGCGGCATCGCAAAAGGGACCACGGGTATATCCCGGCACCCAGAGCGCCACGGGCCGACTCTTACCAGCGACAAGCCAAACGCGTCAAGACCAGCCATCATCCTGAAGAAACGTCCGCTTCCTACGCGAGCACGTCCGCACTCGCGCCACTCGATACCAACACACCCAATTCTTCCGACTTCACACTGAACACGACGACGTCGACTGCAGCTCAAATGTTGCCACCCACATGGTACTCTCCGAGTCCCGCCGCCCCTGACGTGACCTATTCTTCATCTCCGTCGGGGACGTTTGCTGGATATACAACCCAGCCCCATTGGCAACTTGATCGACAAGTTTCTGAGTCGGTTTATACCCATCCCACAAATTGGCAGCAGCCAAGAGGCTACTTCCCCTCCTCGCAATTCACCTTCGTCTCCGGATACCCTTATCCTTACGAGGCGAATACTACTAGCGGCGGCGGCGCTGCTTACCCGGATGCTTCGGCTGAATATGCAGACGCAACATGGACCAGGGACGAAGGCGCGGGTTTCGTTTATCCTCAGCCTCTTCAGCAAGCCTACACCGACCCGCTCGTGCTCGCTGGACCCCAGTGGCAAGAATACACCGACCCTATCCTCGAGCACTTCCTTAGAGAACATCTTGCTGGTCCATTTGTCGAAAGCGACCACGGCCAGGCTGTGGCAACCGCGGCCCAGTCCGACGAAAGCAGTATCCCTTCAGGCTCGATGGGCACTATTTACGCCACATACGACCGGGAGCATGAGTTCCCTGTCCATGCAGAAGATGCGCTCTGGTAAGAGTCTGACTACACGGTAGAAGGCAGTCCTAAGCCTCCGATTAGGGCCGGCTCTTGATCTCTTTGTTTGTTTATTTCTTGTTGTGCTGTAGTTATACCCGTGTAGAGATGATACCAAAAATCCCACTTTGTCTTGTCATGCAAGGCAGTCTAATAAGTCTTGTCGTGACAATGTTGAATGGTTCTCTTTGTTTCTAAATGCCATGAGAAACAAGTTGCTTGAAGCACATTCTAGTTCATGAACCCTTGACAAATGCCCACAAGCAGTAATTAGTTATCGAGTGCTTCCTAATGACATATTATATTTCTAAGGGTATCTCAGGCCGCGAGGAGCTTGCGAAGCCGATTGCTTTTGATGATATCCGCGATTCTCCCGTCAGCTTCCTCCGTGGCTTCGCGATAAAACTGCGGAGGGAGCTTGGCGATCTCCTTGTTGACGACGGTATAGGGCGAGGGTGACAAAGCGTGGTTTGCGATAAAGTATGCGCGCAGCGCTGTCTCGAACGCCTCGGGGAAGGCCGCGCCGGTGGCGCCCGCTTCCATGAAGGTATGCTCAATGCAGATACAGATGGCCGCAATGGCCTGTGCGCGTTTTGTGAGGGTCCATGCGGTTCCACTCTGTGGACAAGTAAGCTCATTCCGAGACTTGGCTGTAGACGTACGCGTGGTAGCATGAAAGCATAGATCAATGGACTACACTCGGTAATTTTTGAAGACTATAGCGTAGAAGCACTTGATTCATGTTGTCGCGATGGGAATTCGGGACACCTACCAGCTAAGCAAGCAGAAGTTATACAGAGAAAAACAAGGTGGGCAACGACATACTCTTAGATGGAGCTACAGTGTAATCAGCTATAATTGAGGGAGCCCTGCAAAAGACACACATCATGATCGGGGGAACCTTGTCCTATCGAAATCACTGGGTCCTGCGATCCACAATGAGAGCGGTCGGATGCGAAACTTGAAAAACAGACTGCCTATCATGAAAATCAGTCAATATGAATAACTTTCCACATTGTGAGATAGAAACGCACATACTGCGGAATTCCGGGTTAGAACTACAAGGAGTAATGGATCAAAAAACTCACGTCCTGTGTTAAATGCATCCTTAAGAGCGTGAAGGATATAGCACAAGCAACAACGACATACTTCGTGCTAAAAAAGATAGAGGGAATGCTTGAGCAGGCATTGTTTCAGGTAGTTACTCAGACGAACTGTACGCTGGAAACAAAATTGAATTGAACTCCCGGGGGGATATTCAGAGTACTCACCCAAATATGAGGGTAGCAGGACATTATCGCGGGCAATAAAGCTAGAGGAGTCAAGATGGTCACCGGCTGTGTGTTGATGGCCACTGACATGGAAGATTTTGTGTATCTTGACATCTATCGCAGGCTGAGTAGTTGACAATCACCGTCCAAAATAAGACGCACTGGACAATGGCCCGTTCCATACACAAATCGACGTTCAGTTGTTGAACGGAAATTAAGATTGGCCGAAGAATATCGCCCGACAGTAGGGTCAAAGTGACGCGAATGAGATCAGCGTAAGTAGGGGTCTCAGTCGTTAAATCTGTCATGTTCAAGTAAGAGCGGGTCAGACAAGCGAAAACAACCAACTATCCATCCGAACGCACTCGGCCGGCGGATATCGCATTGCCCTGAGGGGCAGTATGTATCTTGACTGGAGCAGTTCCAGTGCTCTGTCGAATCGTTTCGCCTTGGATTCTGCCCTTCCAAAAGTATCCCGGAGTTTGGCGTATGCCATCGATTCTAACCCATCAAATCTGGTGAAGACGACAATGATCGGAACTAAACAATGAGGCATCGTCTCGGTGCACTGGAAGAGAGTAGAAAGTCACCGTCTCCTGCAATATTGCTGCCAAAGAACTGCATGTCACCTGGAGAAAAGTGCATATGGGTATCTGTTCGGATACAGTACCTGGGAGGAGTGAGAATGGGTGGACTTCAGGTCTCATAGAGTAATCCCGTACCAAATCGCATGGAGTCTACTCGATAGTGACGTCGCTTTTGCTCGGTCAGCAATAAAAGCCTTTACGAGATTGATCTTGGAGTCTCCAGCACTTTCGAAGCCGACAGAATCGTGAAAAATGAAAGATGTGTGGGACAACTCCTCCTCGATTTCTTCTGATCTTTGCTGCTATATTGTCAACGCAGCTCAGCGAAACTAGTTAGATAAATCACCTCGTATGGCCTCAGACATATGCGACTCAGTAAAGTGGTTTTCCCCGCCCCGAGCCTTCCTGTGACGAGAATTCGGAATCTGCGACCCACATCGATGCCCTGTGCGTAGACTTCCGAAGCTTGATGATTTGGAGAAGAAGCCGGCGGCAACGAAGTGTCCGTGGCCAAATGATCATTGACCGATAGCCCTTGAAACGAGTGGGTTAGGTCTTCGTAACGCATTGAAGCGACAAAGGGCCCGCTACGAAAACCTCGTTCGTCCAAGTGGTGGTGAAGGTTTGAAGAAAGGTGTCAAGCGTGTGAAGGAATCACCCATTGTCTCCATTGGGACGTAATCGCCACATTCGGATCAAATTAGATCTGTGCTGAAATAGGCATCATGGCAAAAAAACTTTGGATAATCAGTCCGACATGGGAAATCTGTAGATGTGCCTCATGTTAAGCACACATGCAAGCCTTGCCGACAACTCTCCTCTTGACCTGCATGACGCGGCAAGAGGACAACCTTGGAGGCGAAAACTTCGAGTTAAGTCTTCGCAATGGCCCCACAGCCTATCACACAGCGGAACCGTATGTATCGCTTCCAATACGTCGTCAAGTTGCCTGTTGTCAAAGCTTACTATTGATAGCATTCATTTATTGGTTGTCGGCGGGGTACCCTATCCAGCTCTGAGCTCACTTGGAACTGCTTTCTAATCTCATGAAGGGCGGTGTCGGCAAATCAAGGTTGCTGCGACACGCACTCCAGTTTGGCATCGAGAATAAGGTGCGAAGAACTAGCAGGCTACGTATTATCTCAGGCACTCATCTGCTGCCTGGAATGTGGTGTGTGCAGATGACTTCATATCCCCCTGCAAGTGCTCGGAGCTGGTCGGCTATCCCTGGCGTCAGCTCTCCGCTTCAACCTGGAGTCGTAGCGCATGAGCTGTCGTATGTGGAGACCGAAGACGTCTTGCCTTCGGCTGCCGACACGATGATCGAGAAGGTCGAAAGATTTATTCACCTCAATCAAATGACGGAGAAATTGGGAGACCAAGTTCACATCATTTGGAAAGGATTTCGTCTTTTACCATTCCAAGGCCGCTGAAGTATTTTCGTAGGCTGTGCATCAGGGTTCCTGTCGATAGCAGTAGAAAAATCGCCATTCATCCCGCAGAGTTGGAATTCCTGAGGCGGCAACGAAGTAAGGACGCATATTTCTCTTTGCTTCATGTCCTGATCGGAAGCGCTCAGGACCCGTTATCGTTATCTTCACGCAATTTGACGGTCTGGTGTATCGAGTAGACGAAATGATGAACCTATCAGATGCTGAGGAATCACCCGAACAGTCAGCACTTCAACAAGTAGAAGAATTGTTCTACAAGACGTGTCAGCAACCGCTGGCCGATATCAAGCCATCCGTATCGTTTGTTCGAACGTCAAGTAAGTTGTGCCCCAAGTGATATTACTGAAGTTAATAATGGTCTTGTAAGGACTGGACCAGGACGAACTCACCATCACAGAGGCAGAAAACCTTCAAGGCTTATTAACGGCAACGCGTTACTTGAGCTTGGAGTACATCGAGCGAAGATCCGCAGAAATACCCGGGCGAAAGCAGCAAGCAGCTGAGCGTATTCAGATGGCCATCGCGTGAGCCCAGATCCCATTGGACCTACCAGTACAATATTGATTCGCAGGTTAGAATGGCAATGGAAGGTTACTAACTATTTCATGCTGTATAACAGCATTGACGTCCGCGAGTAGTTTATTCTAGCGCCGTCTTGAGCTGCATTTCGTTGAGTAGTTTGGTTACCATCCTGGGGAAACTACACCGTGATACGACTCGCGCTTGGGACTTCAATGACCCGTTCGTTGTAGGTACCGATGCTGGTTGGGACATGATGCTTGACCGACTCCAGAAACGGGACTCTCCAGAAATCATTTCCGAAGTCCAGGCTCTATCTTCGGCACAAAGCGTCTTGCATTGGGATTCCGAAGCGTGCCAGACATCATGGCTGTAAGACTGGGCCCCCCTCACATTCCATCTCTTGACAGTTTCGCAGAAGTTGGCTCGATAGATACCAGATTATCCTGGGCCTGGCGTTCGGGGCGTCGGTAACAGCAACTTTAGGCCGCGTTGCAGCGCTGCTTGCGGTCGTATTCTGGCTCGGACAGATTGCCATCCGTCTCAAACGGCGCTTGTAAGGTCTATTGGCTCGTCATCATCAGGCTGACAAAAAAGTAGACCGGAGACGACACGGACCTTCCTTGAATATAGCATCCACTTAATCCTCCTTGTTGACCGGATATCCTACGACACGTCCACGAGCCCGGCGCGTCCACTAAGCGAGATGGACTTCGAACGAGCTATAAGCGAGTACAAGGAGTCTGAGGCAGCTGCGCAGGTGCAATCCGCGGTCCAACGGTTCATCGACGACGGGTCCACTTCTCTCTGGCGGATGCTGCGTGGTTGGACGGGAGGGCGAGCGGAAGAACTGATGCAAGGCCTTCTGCTGAAATGGAGAACCGAAGCCGATAGAGGGGCTATGTCTACAGATATTCGTCACCAGTTATAGCATATAGGAAGCAACCGGGTTGCATTCGGCGGATGCCACTGATGGTGACAGGGAAGCAAGACGAGAACACATTGGACATTGATGCCAAATAAGCATACAAGGGGTAGTGACGCCGACTATGAGTTGGGCCAGAGAAATCCCGCATATTTTGCAGGCAACCCGTCGGGAAAGAATTTTGGAAACAACGTCGGATAATAACGTCGGATAATATTTATATGCGATCAGAGGATGTGCCTTCAGCTTGAAGTTAAGCACGACCTCGCCCGCAGGAATGTAGTCGTTGGCGACAAATTTGACTAGAAGATTGACAAGTGTCAAATCAGAAGCACGAGTAACAGCAGACATAATGGACATACATTCCTGGGTCTCTCCATCCCGTTCTTGTCTGGCACGCGCCATATCGACGACTTCTTGAGGGACCGCGCGATGCTTGTTGTTAGCTGGCGAAGCTTGCCGACAATAACAACAAACACTCGAATTTGGCGTCGACAACGCGCATGTCCATCGAGACGCCCTGGAAGAAGCCGACACAGTGGTGGACACCGTTTGTTGGGGACATGACTCTATGTATTGGCGCCTTGACGAGGTTGTGGGTGACCTTCTCCATAACTTGAACTGTCGTCGACATCAGCGGGGAGGAAGAACATAGAATACGGTAGGACAAACCCCGGCCAAGGAGGACGATGAATGTCCCAGGAATCGGCGGTGCAGCATACCAGTCACCAGACGGGGTTTGAAATTGAAGACCAGGCTCTTCAAAAGCTTGGATAAGCTGTTGGACAAATCAGACATAAGAAATTATTGAAAGGAACGCAAATGACATACATAGGTCAAGAAATTAGAGTCGGTATGAGGAACGAATCCGGTTGTCGGTGGTGGGCAAGCTGAATATCGGAGCAGCTTGCACCGAAGCTGTCGTTGAGCGACATCTGCCTCCTGCAGGGCCTCGAATGCGTCTTCATCAAGACCCAGTGCTTCGGCAACAAGTTTGGTGAAACGGATGGAAAGCGTCTTCATGTGCCGGTAGTACTCGTTCATCTGGGAGCGACAGCCAGGGAAGACGGCATCGTCGGGCCACCAAGCATGTATGATTTTGGTATGATTGATGCAGGGAAAGCTGGTGGTGGAATGAAAGGTGTACCGCCATGGATATGGTGGTAAATCGGGGCCCCATCTTCTGCATCTGCTGCCTCGTCTCCGTAGTTAAGTTGCTCCCGGCTGGGGTTTTCTACTGTTCCTTTCCGCAGGTAACCATTGAAGTGGGCATTGCCGCTCATATCGACGACATCTTTCACCGTCATAGGCAAAGCGAAAAACTGCTCGGTGGCATCGATCATGTTGCTGACGACGTCCGACGGTACGGGCGTGCGGGTCAAGTACACGTAGCCACCATTGATGAGCATGTCCCGCAGCTGAGACAGGAACGCTGATTTGTCGCGGTCGACGAGAGAAAAGTCAAGGAGGGGAATTTTAAGCGGTGAAGACGGCATAGTCGAACGAGTCAGGAAAAGAGTAACATCGCATTTAGCCTGCTGCTTTATGAGCCCACGGAGTTTTTCACACGAGTTCCAAGAGGCTCGCCCAGCGCCAGTCATTGGAAACAAATAAGCCAATGACGTGAGATTTCCCAATCGTGCCACAACAGTTTGACAAGGATGCCCAGCCATTTACCACGACCCTCACCAGTAGAAACAGTGAGATATGCCGCAAATTGTTCATCGGGAAGTGAAAGCTAGGCCAGAAGGACGCGGATACGGAAGGCCGATGGAGGATTCAGAAGATGTTTTGCTCTGTCATACCCCGGTTGTTTATACTATTAAGCATTTCGATGAGAGAGTGCCGTATAGGAGTTAGAAATAGAAGGTGGCACCTTGCAGGCAGCTCCCGGCACACTGGCAAGTCCGAGACAAGACTAAACACCGGCACCATTGACCAACGATTCTATGGTCCCCCGCCTCGAGCATTAGTCGGAAGCTTGGAAGGAGGATCATGATGAAAGGGTGTCTGGGGGAGAGCCAGGGCAGATAGTCGATGGTGTCGACTGCTGAAAAGCAAATTACGAGCTGGAGTTTGAATGTCGATACGGTCGATGCTTTGTTAAGACTAGAGAGTTGTACAGATGTGCTGCTCCCGTTCAAGTTAACTGAGGGTCTTTATTTGACGTAGGGATCGAAACCCCCAGAGGGAGGATATGTCGGAGAAGACCACGGAGGTGGGGTGCAAGGTTGGTTGACCGTTGATCTGCGTCAGCGTGACTTGCTTTTCGACCACCATGCTTCCCTTCAGCAAGCGCATGCCTTTGCATACTATTCGCTCGCCTAGTCCTCTCTAGTAAACGACCTCGACGTGAATCGACCTTGCGGCGATGTAATTACCTGCTCTCTTGCTCTCCGGCCGCCTCAAAGAAAAAGAGGAATATTAACGGAACATGAACAATCGAATATGGGCCCGCCTATAGCGTGCTTGGTGCGCTTCAATACAATATCTTCCTCAGCAACAGTCAGACCGACCTCTTCTTTCTAGACATAACGCGTTCGGACACCGACACCGTCAGCTTGAAAGGCTCAGTTGAGTCGACCTCATGGCCGGAGCTCTTGAAGACGAGGAAAATTTTAAAACTGGCTGCCCCCAACAGCCAACTTGAAGGACATTATCGAAAAAGGAGGTTTCCTCAGTACGTGTTTTCGCTCCTCTTACTCTTTGGTGGTTTGTTACGTTCTGAGCGCGGGTCATACAGGCGCTGCTTCCCCCGCAGCTATTTATGGAATTACCACCACGAGTCGTCTTTCCTGGTGTGTTTACTCTTCTGCATGTCCTTGGTGAGACTGAAGCAGTACTTTGTCATGCAGGTCTTTCAGTGACTGACCAGTACTTTCGTCGACGATCTCATAATAACTATATTTCAAACAACGCTCCGCTCTGGTAGAGGCTACCCAAAGCATTGCCTTTCGTGCCCCCTCGAAGACCAGCCTCACACGTTGCACTTTCGGTGTTCCCTATCCCGGCCAACGACCTTGGCAAACGACTCACAATCTTTCACCTCCCCAATCCTCCTTCGATGACTTTTCCACACACTATGTATTTGCTGCCGATAGCCAGATAACTCGACAAACATTCTGGCTATTTTTTCTGCTCATCACAACGATTATTCAAGACCACTCCTTCCTTGCCACCTCCGACGAGAGAACTCTGCGAAATGCACTCTATTCATCATCAGGGTCATCACATTCGATATCTAGTGAACGATGGGCTCCTCCTCCTCGCATCCATGTAAAGGATCAAAACGCCTTTGCGAAACGGGCATTGCTACTTCGAAACCTTGATGCAATATCGCTCTACTTCAGTGCAATACAGCGCTTTTGCTCTGTCTTGGTCACCCAGGCAGACTTGATCGCCTTTCGTGCTTGTTTTTCTTGTCCACTTTTTCCCAACTCCGACCCAACGATGATGTCTTCCGTTGTGTTCTTCTTGGAAGCATCGGCGCCATACTCTTAGCGTACTATTCCTTCAATATCCATCTCACGAAATAGTGCTCCCTTCCCCATGGACAATTTTTGAATTCGTTCTCATTCGTCTTTGTTGGCACTAATACGCGTAGATTGTTCATTCCTACATGCAGAGCTTGTGCGTCATGTGCCTGCCTCCCAGCTCGTCGCAAGAAACCAATGCTATAATTATAACGCAGCGGTGGTCAACCGTACTATTCCTCATGAGAAAAGTTGCATGTACCTGACAGAAAGATGACGGATGGAAGCGGCGATAGGTCGGTAGCACAGCTCTTCTCGCTCCAGCATGGGCAGCCTCTACCCCGATGTCGAGAGCGGCCTGAAGCGCTCTCCTGGGTCAAGCGAACGCGACGCCGATGTATTTGGACAAGCGAAGCGAAGGAAAGGGCCGCGTGACGTGACGCCACCGGTGACATCCGCCAAAATCGACCTTGACCTCGAGCAAGACGGCGAGTCCGACGACAAGGACGTTAGCGACAACGGGATGCATAATGACACGCGGAAAAGACCCGCAGTCAGCACACTGGCCATCTATGGCTGGTTCCATCGACACAGCGGCTACCTTTTCCTCCTCGCTGTCTTCCTCGCGTTTCTGCGAGCAGGACTACACGCTGCCGCCCCTCCTCCCTCTCCCACTCTCTCCGGTTCTGCCTCCTACCCGGCCTCGCTAGCCGCCCGCGCAAAGTCGTACCTCCTGCTTGGGCCCCGCTCCCAAATCCACCCCATTCCTGGGCTTATGGATGCTGCTGACGCGCGCTATCGCGCCAAGCTTAGCAGACAATCAACGACTCTCGCCGCAGCAGTTGCAGAGTACAAGAAGCGATACGGGCGGCCACCTCCAGCTGGATTTGACAAGTGGTACGCGTTTGCAAAGAAAGCGGGTTTCGTCATGATAGACGAGTTTGACGCGGTCGTTGAGGACTTGGAGCCGTTCTGGAGTCTCGCTGGAGAGGAAGTGCGAAGGAGAACTGAGCTTGTTGGCGCGCTTCCAAGCGTGGACGTTGTCAAAATCAGAGGCGGCGAGGCGAAGGCGGTCAGTGGAGGAAAGGGCTTTGATGACAGTGAGGCGGGGGCACGCGCGAAAGGATTCAAATCTATGCTGGAACGCTTCGTTGTGGACGTACGTTTGCGTCGTTATTTTCTATCTCCTGGCTTATCCTTCTTTCTAGCTACCAGATATGGACTTCGCAATCAACGCGAAGGCAGAAGGACGCGTCGTTGTCCCATGGGAGCATATAGCTCATCCAAACCTCACTGATTGTATGCTGTCAACATCTCTTCTCCTCTTCGTTCATTTCAATCCACCCTAGTTAATCCCCCTTGGCCATCTGCCGACTGGGCAGGTAAAGGCTCTGTCTGGGAAGCATGGCGTCGAACATGCCCACCAACTTCTCCAGCCCGTCGACTCTATTCTTCGCTTGGATCTGGTTGGGCGGGTACAGCTGGAGCCCGTGATCGTCTTGCTGAGGGCTATTACGCCTGGCAAGCTCGTTTGCTTGGCGGAGGAGGAGGATCTTCGCGTTCGTCTTCTGTGTCTCTTTTTGCCATCCTACGTTTGCTAAGCTGCATTATAGCGAAAAAGGAGATGGGGACAGCCAGCGGCACCGGCACTGGAAGCGAATTCTCGTTCGCTCGGGAAACGGGTTCTCGGACTGTCGATTTTTGCAAGAACCCTGGTCAACGATATGAACAGGGTATGATTTCCCAAATCTGATGTTCCAATGCTTACTGTGTGCTGCAGGCCACTTTTTCTCGGATTGGCGCACTTATCCGTTATTGGTGCCCATCTTCTCGCCTGGTCGTGCTCAAGGCTTTGCCGACATCAGAATACCGAGTCATTACTACTATGGTGGTACTAGAAGGTGTGTTTATCCTGCTGGAAGCCCCTTGTCTTTGTTTTCATGCTCGCCAGATACACATATGCTTGGGACCCAATCAATCTAGAGCAGCGGGTTACGGATCCAATGGAGGTACCTTGGGAGAAAAAACGAGATGCTGTCTGGTGGCGCGGGGCGAGCACTGGTGGAGGAAGCAGTCCATCTGGCTTTGGTCATGGGTACCAGCGTCATCGGTATGTCTTGCCGTTTGTCGCTTTCACATATTGACATTTTACAAGTTTTCTGCGGATGTCCTCCGTTGGACATGTACCCACCACCGGTGCGGATGGTGATAGGACGACGGCAGTGACTTTTGAAGTCAGTGACAAATCGGCAGTCGAGAACGGAAAGCTTGAATCATCATCATTATCCACGTCGGCGTCTACTTCTGGTGCTCCAACTTCTTCATATGTCGATAAGGGTTTCCGGACCTCTCGCGTTCCACTCGCTCGCTTGAATAAAGAGGTCATGGATGTCGCATTCGTCAAGGAAGTCGTCCGTATTGGTCCGGAGCATCGTGTTGGGGATAGCGTCGAGCTTGGAGTCAGTTGGGGCTATAAGTGCGTTCGTTCTTGGCCTTCTTTTTGGCTTTCTTAACATCCGTCCTGCCAGATATCTGCTCGATTTAGATGGTATGGGCTACAGTGGGCGGTTTATGGCATTTCTCGCCAGCGACAGTGTGCCGCTCAAAAACACTATCTATGACGAGTTCTTCAGTGGATGGATAGAGCCTTGGTTGGTTTCTAACTGCCTGTTACTTGTGTCTTTTTTTGCTAACCTGGCTGCAGGGTTCATTATATCCCCCTCTCGACGTCCTATTCGGAGGTGTACAACATTGTGTCGTACTTTTCGGGACCAGCTCCCTCTGTCCTTGATGCCGCTGGGTTGTCGAAAACACCATATTATGGAGCTCCACCTTCGGGTGACTGGGAAGATGAGGAGGACGAGGAGATCGAGCCTGGCGACAAGCAACGACGGCAGTACGAGGTCCAGAGGCAGATGAGCGTGGTCGACCCCGGAAGGAGTGTCGCTACTGGGGAGGGCGACAGACGGGCACGAAGGATTGCGAGAGCTGGGAAGCAGTGGAAAGCGACAATGGGGAGGAAAATCGACATGGAAGGTGAGTCTACAGGTTCTTTTGTCTTCTTGTCGGTTGTTGATGACGAGACAGTATATGTGTATCGACTGGCCATCGAGTATGCGCGATTGTGGGCAGATGACCGAGACCTCATGAGCTATACTGGGCCATGAAGGGCTTTCTTGTCCGGATGGAGGATTATCTGTTGCGATATGGATACGGTCGTCGCTGCCGCTTGTTGTGCCTCACAACCATGACCACATAATCAACAGCCTTTTGTCTCTGTCTTCTCCTCGTACTCACACTGCCTTCACCTGCACCCACACCCATGCGATCACCGATGACAACCGTTATCCACTTGATCCACTGTTTCGGGCCTCGTTATCCTTTCTTTGGAACCAAACCACGCTTTCATGTACACATACGCATTACATTCGACACATAACCTAGAAAGTTACATTACATAGAATGCATAGTACCTAGTTGACCAGGACCAGCAGGTGTAGTAAAGAGTTTACACGATTCACTTTTGAGGCTGACCGTAAGTAATCACTGGATACAATAAGTACATGTACAAGGATACAATAGCCAAACTGCCTTACATCCGAATATGGCAATCGTTGACGCGAGGGTGACGCGTCCCCTCCTTTATAAGGCTGCTGGATAGTGGCCCACACAAGCGCTGACTCTTAGACCCGCTTTCAAGACCACGACTACAACATGACTGAAGATAAACAAATCAACCCAATGAAGGGCTTCTACGACATTCTCGCACAGGCAGAGACACCTGGCTTCAAGGAATTGGCACCATCCATTCTTCAAAAGGAGTATGAGGCCATTGGGCTACTTCAATCCCAGGTCAACGAGAAACGGCGCTACATTGGGGCGCTCACTTACGCCGTCTCCCCGTTGAATAAGCTACCCTCGGGACTCCTTACGGACATCTTTCTGTGGGCCGTTGAATCTCGCCGAATCGCCGAGCCCAAGACCGGTGTGCGGCGTGTCGATGACGGGAGCGATTGCGATGAGTCCAACTCAGAAAAGTCTGAGACCAGTGCCGCCAAGGGGGAGACTGAGCCTCTAGAATGGTACGGAGTGTCCGGAGCCATTTACATCTCGGCGGTCTGTGTATATTGGCGGCATTTGGCACTTTGCACTGGACGATTGTGGACAAAGAATATCCATATGCCTATGTCCGCCCAAAACTCCGACCTCGAGATGTTCCGGGCCTTTATAGAACGCTCTTCTCCATTGCCTATCGAAATTTTTCTCCCGTTGAATGTGCTGCAGCGACAGGACCTCATAAATCCACGTCGGTTCGTCTGGAATGACGAGGACAGCATCATCGTCCGAGAAACCCTCAAGGTGATGGACCGATGGGGGCAGGTTCTCATGCAAGTTGATTCCAAACTGGCCGATATTATCACCTCCCTGGCCAGAACAGAGCTACAAACTGATGCCCCAAAGGTCTCGAACCTTACCCAGCTCATATATGTGTCAGACATTCCGGATCTACTAGTAGATGAAGAAGCTCGGACTGAGGATAACAAGAAACCAGAGCCATTGCTGCTTTTCCGCGATGCACCACTCCTGCAACATGTCCGTCTGGAGTTAATGTATGAGCTTTGTCAAATTCAACTGCCATGGGCACAGCTCACACACTTGGAGTTTGAACAGAGGAGGACAAATATGGCCTCAGGCCCCGATCTTCTGGACATCATTACCCAATGCGCTTCCCTTGAATTCCTTGGGTTGGACATAATGTGTTGGTCAGCAAGTCTCTTTGAAAACATGCCGGGAGATGCTGCTCGTATCTCACTGATGAACATGAAGGAGCTGCAGATATGCTTCCACCATCCAGAGAATGACAGGTCAACAGGAGAACCATTTTTTGCTCGGTTTATGTTCCGGCACTTCAAACAGCCTTTATCTGTTGTGTACCAAATCTGAGTCACGGGCGGCCTCTAGATCTCGATCTAGGGGTTAAATTCAAAAGTTTCTTTGGGGAGTGCTCTTCCCTGAAGGAGTTGCATCTCTTTAACTGCCATCTCAACAACAATCTGCTGCAAGAAACCATTGAGCAAATGCTTCCAACACTTGTGGAGTTGGAGCTCATTCACTGTTCAACCATCACAAATGCATTTTTCCAGCATCTTGAAGTCACAGACAAAACAGAAGAATTGAACTCATGCTATCATTCAAAGCTGAATACCCCCTCAACAGTGGCCCCATACCTTCATACATTGAAAATGCATGATATTACTATAGGAGCAATTGACAGGGATCTTCCAGTAAGAGTATTCTATTCAAGACATTGGAAGGAGTTTTCTCTCCAGGATGTCTCAAATTTATTTTACACTATGCAAGATGCATCTCATCAGGCAGAGACTCAGAGAAAGAAGTCACTGCTAGTCATTCCATGGCCACAAAATATTTAGATCTATTAGTTGGGATTCATTGTAGGCAACAGCTATAAACAACTGTAATAAGCAACTTGATTTGGATACAATTCAAATGGTGTTTATGTTCAAGTTATTTTATTGGACCTAGTGATTGTGGATGCAGAAAATGTTTTCGGATTGAGATTATTCTATTAAAGTCTAGCTATAGTGATATAGATAGGTCATGAAAACTAATGACTACAACTCAGCCAATGAAACTATGCAACCAAAAGAAAAGATCTGTATTGTAAATTGTACTATTCCCTCACCTGTTTAGCCCACAAAACACTGTGAGTTATCAGTGGTAACCCGCCGGGGGTGCCATTGACAAGGCTCAGTATTTTCAGAACATCCCCTGAGGTGAATAATTGCTGGGGAGAGGGGTGAATAAAGTTGAGCTCTAAGGCAAAGTTCGTACTAAGTTCAGTATGTAAGGGTGAATAAAGGTAAATAATACAACGACCAAGTCCCCAGAAGTCCTGTTATGTGACATGTGTGACACATGGTCCCAAAAGGAAATTTTATTGATAGACATTGGAACTGTGCCATGTCTTTTCACAGTAATATAGAGTGACAAGTATATTAGATTTCCTAAAAAGGAAAATTTCACTATTTAATAGTACAATCATCAGAGAATGTCACAAATCGTCACAAGATGGCAGTTCTCTATTGTGACTATACAAACAACTTTCATTAAGTGATGTATAGTAGCAGCTGATCTACAACTGATCAATAACTAGAGTAGCTACAGAGCTAATGTCAATATCTCTATCAATACCATGTCATCAGCATACACAGGGAAAATTCAAAACTTTCTTTTCCCATTAAAAGATGAATTTAATGTAAACATTTTAATTCTTCTTTCTATAGGTAAGAAAGATCATATATCTGAATTAGCATAAATAGTTGCTTTTCAAAGATATTTCCCTTGTATGGAAAGGACCTGTTTTAGGAAAAACTGAAATGTCAATTGAAAGTTCATCTTTTCAATACAGATTTGTATACCTATTTCTTTGTTGCAGAAAGAAAATATTTTTATTTTTTTCACAAAGAAGCTATTTATATTCATGTTTTCATGTCAATGAAAATAACATCTTTATATCATTTGCAGAAAGGACATCATTTGTTTCCCCTTTCATATAAGAACAAAGAGCATCTTTCTGAAAAAGTCAGAAAGATGATGTTTCCTTATCCCTTTCATGCAATCAAAAAGCACACCTTTCTCTTTGTCTTGAAAGATATTCTTTCTATCTGCTAACAAAGGTGCATATAAAGAAGACCTTTCTAAAAATGACAGAAATATTGTCTTTTATACCACAAATAAAGAGGAATATAAACCACATATTTTTGCAATGAGTGAAAATATATTCTTTATAGTACACAGAAAGGGGTATTTAAAGCCATATGGAAAGGTTAGCTTTTCAATAACTTTTCCATCCCTGTGAAAGACACTTTTTTTGTTCTTACAGAAAGCTTGATAAAGAAGAGTCATTTATGAAATAATTAATATATCATATTTCTTGGTTGAGGAAACCTGTATCTAAATATGTACATTCAATACATGTTTAAAAGGGAAAAGAAAATTTTGAATTTCCCGTGTGATAACCATACTGCCTCATGATTATCTATCAGACATTTTGATCTGGCTATATCTCTAGTAGTTGTCTATGGATTCACATTGGTATTTCACTAGTAGGTAGGTAGTAATATTGTCTTAATATGATCTGATATGACCATAGTCCCATGCCTTTAGAATATACTGGTATACCACTTTTCTGTAGTTTTTCTAACTTAAATTTGACCAGGCATAATGATGACCTGATATCTAGGTGAGAAATGCATGGATAACCATAGGGTCAGGTTTGCTATGGTTATATGGACATATCTGATAGCTCTACAAGCCACCCATATTTTTAGGCACCCTATATACCTGTCTATATGGCTCATATCTTATTATTTCAATCTCCCAATAACTCACTCAGAGGTAAGTAATCTCCAATGAGATGAAGATAGGAAGTAGAAGAGGGGTTGCCCTGAGAGATGTTATGCCTCCCATGATGTTTTATCCTTTAAATCTCTTGTTATTCTCCATTCTACATATTACTGCTATATCACAAGACATTAACAATACAGCCATGATCCGCTAGTTGATTGTGGATCAAAATAAGTCAAGTTCAGTCAATGAGGTACATACACATACCCACCTACTCTGATTGATGATTGTACATACCTGGATGGTGAAATGAGGCAGACATTCAACTGTAGGTTAGATGCAAAACTAGTTTACATGAATAGTAGGGTCTATAGACTAAGTATTGGACATTGAGATGCATGTATTGGGGTATTGGGATATCTACTAGGACCCTGTACTGAAATTGGTTGGGGTTATGGTATGTGTTACAGAAGGTAGCTAAAGAGAGGGTAGGTACCTATAGAGCAGAAGAGAGTGTCTTTGCTATTACAACTGGTCAGAAAATAATTTCAAGTATGATCCAAGACTTGATTGTAGGATGGTATACACCTTCAAATTGACCTGTCTAGCACTTGAATCAACCTCATGGCTATGATGGATCTCTCACAGTAACATTATCAGTGTTATCTATTCCAAAAATGATTGGCTCACCATGGCATGGTTTGTGGAAGTCTGAGAGATTTCAGTATATTCAATGGTAGGGGTATGATCCACCTCCCATAAAGTGGTGCCCCTGCCTTTCTGGCATATCTCCATCCTG